TCTATTAAGAATACAAAAAAAAAAAAAAAAAACTAGCTGGCGAGGTGGCGGGCGCCTGTAGTCCCAGCTACTCGGGAGGCTGAGGCAGGAGATGGCGTAAACCCGGAGGGAGCTTGCAGTGAGCTGAGATCCGGCCACTGCACTCCAGCCTGGGCGACAGAGCGGAAAAAAAAAAAAAAAAAAAAAAGAAGTGATAGGAAAAGGTACCAGGTTGGAAGCCACTGAGAACAAAGGCAAGGTTTGGACTAGTAGGCACTCACTCACCATAGTCCCTCCCCTGGCTCAGTGTGGTGTGGTCAGAAGAAAATCTCTAACTCTCAGCTTCTACATTGGTAGAGAAAGAGAAGAATGGAGTTTGAATTCAACATCCTGGCTTTTCAGGGGCCTGCCCAAGGAACTGGTTTTTGTTTCACCTGCCTTGGAGTGCTGATATGACTTTAGGTATACTTTAGGTACCCAGGGGTTACTGAGAACAAAAGAGAGCTAGGTAGTTGGCTGCTGCCCCAGAAGACCTGCAGTGCAGCAGACAGAGACTGATACAGCTCAGTGGCCTCTCTCGGTGAAGGGGGAAGGAATAGGGAGAAGAGCAGAGTATGCATCCAACATTCTGGCTTTTGAGGGGGCTGCTTGAGGAACTAGTTTCTGTCTCACTTCACTTGGCATGCTGATGAGATTCAGCATACTCTAGAAGCCTAGGGCTGCTGAGAACAAAAGAGAGCTGGGCAGCTTAAAGCAGCTGAAGAAAACCTGCAGTGCTACAGAAAGACACCAGAGAAAGCAAGCGATTACTAGCTTCTGAAAAAAGAAACAGTGAGATCACTCTAATTGGGATTTTACATGCACAAGTCCAGAGAACAGACATCCAGAAGAGGTTTGAAAGGCCCACAGGATCTCTAGTTAGGCTGATTTTGTTTTCCCTCTACAAAGTCAGTCTGCAAATACAGAAAGGGGGCTATATATATGTATCTTTTTCAAATGTGTGGATCTCACCACAGATTACAAGGCACATAAAGAAACAAGGAAATTTGGCAGGTGCAACAGAGTAAAATAAATATCCAGAAACCAACCTTAAAGAAACATAGATATATGAACTACCTGAGAAAGAATTCGAAATAACCATCATAAAGAAGTTCAATGAACTCAGGAAAAGGATGAGAATGTTAACAGAGAAAATATAAAAAGAGGCCTGGCGCGGTGGCTCACGCCTGTAATCCCAGCACTTTGGGAGGCTGAGGCAGGTGGATCACGAGGTCAGGAGATCGAGACCATCCTGGCTAACACGGTAAAATCCCGTCTCTACTAAAAACACAAAAAATTAGCTGGGCGTGGTGGCGGGTGCCTGTAGTCCCAGCTACTCAGGAGGCTGAGGCAGGAGAATGAGGCGGAGCTTGCAGTGAGCCGAGATCATGCCACTGCACTCTAGCCTGGGCGACAGAGTGAGACTCCGTCTCAAAAAAAAAAAAAAATCTATCTATCTATCTATCTATCTATCTATCTATCTATCTATCTATTATATCCAAACAGAAATTTTGGAGCTGAAGAATACAATAATTGAATTGAAAAATTCAATAGAAGGGTCAAACATTCACTAAAGGGGCTGGGTACAGTTCTCACACCTATAATCCCAGCATTTTGAGAGGCTGAGGCAGGAGGATCACTTGAACCCAGGACTTCGAAATCAGCCTGGGAAACATAGCGAGATGCCCTCTCTACAAAAAAATAAATAAATAATTAGCCAGACATGGTGGCACATGCCTATAGTCCCATCTACTTGGGAGACTGAGGCAGGAGGATCACTTGAGCCCAGAAGCTTGAGGCTGCAGTTAGCTAGGATCACACCACTGCACTTCAGCCTGAGCAATGGAGTGTGACTCTGTCCCCCTACCCCCAAAAAATCACTAAAAGGGTTATAGACTTGATCAGTCAGTAAACTCAAAGACAGGACATTGGAGATTATCCAGTCAGAGGGGGAAAAAAAAGATGAATGAAAAAGAATGGGCTGAGCACGGTAGCTCACACCTGTAATCCCAGCACTTTGAGAGGCTGAGGTGGGTGGATCACTTGAGGTCAAGAGTTCGAGACCAGCCTGGCCAACATGGTTGAAACTCTGTTACCAAATACAAAAATTAGCTGGGTGTGGTGGCACGCACCTGTAGTCCCAGCTACTCAGGAGGCTGAGGTGGAAGAATTACTTGAACCTGGGAGGCAGGGGTAGCAGTGAGCTGAGATTATGTCACTGCACTCCAGCCTGGGTGACAGAGTGAGATCCTGTAAAAAAAAAAAAAAAAAAGAAGAAAAAAGAAAAGAAAAAGTGAAGAAAGTTTAAGGGATTTACAGGACACTATCAAGCAAGCCTATACGTACATTATGGAAGTTGCAGAAGCAATACAGAGAGAAATGAACAGAAAGCTTATTTGAAAAAAAAAAATGGCTTAAAATTTCTCATATCTGGGGAAAGATATGGATAAGATTTAAGAACCCCAGGAGACTCCAACTATGATAAATCCAAAGAAGTCTACACCAAGACACATTACAATTAAATTGTTGAATATCTAAAACAAAGAGAAAATTGAAAAAGCATCAAGAAAAAAAATGACTTGCGTGGACAAGATAGCCCTCATAAGACTATCAGGGATTTCTCGGTAGAAGCCTTGCAGGCCGGAAGAGAGTGGGATGTTATATTCAAAGTGCTGAAATAAAATGAAATTTAAAAGCCCTGCCAACTAAGTATTCTGTCTCTGGTAAAACTGCCTTTCATAGATAAAGGAGAAAGACTTTCCCAAATAAACAGCTCAGGAAGTTCATTCCCACTAAACCTGCCTTACAAGAACTGCTAAAGAAAGTCCCTTGAGTTAGAACAATAGGATGCGAGACAGCAGCACAAAAGGATATGAAAGTATAAAGTTTACTTGTAGAGGTTAATATATAGAACAATAGAGAATACTGCAATACTGTAACTGTGGTATGAAGTCACTTACAATTCTGGTGTAGAAGTTGAAAATCAAGTACAAAAAAGAAATATAACTAAAAATATGTTAATGAAGACACTATATAAAAAGATGTAATTTGTGACAGCAATAACAAAGTGTGGGGAGGAAAGAAGTAAAAAAGTTATTTTGGTGTGCAACTGAAGTTAAGTTGTCAGCTTAAAATAAAGTGTTTCAACTATGAGATGTTTTCTTTTATTATTATTATTTTTTGAGACAGAGTCTCGCTCTGTCACCCAGGCTGGAGTGCAGTGGCGTGATCTCGGCTCACTGCAACCTCGGCTCACTGCAACCTCTGTCTCCCAGGTTCAAGTAATTTTCCTGTCTCAGCCTCCTGGGTAGCTGGGATAACAGGCACACACCACCATGCCCAGATAATTTTTGTATTTCTAGTAGAGACAGGGTTTCACCACGTTAGCCATGCTTGCCTCAAACTCCTGACCTCAAGTGATCCACCCGCCTCGGCCTCCCAAAGTGCTGGGATTATAGGGATGAGCCACTGTGCCTAGCCTACAAGATGTTTTATGTAAACCTCATCATAACCAAAAAAAGAAAATACTTATGACACACAAAAGGAAATGAGAAAGGAATCAAAGCATGCCACTGGAAAAAAAAAATCAGTGGAACAAAAAGGCTGATAGCAAGGCAGGAAAAGAGAGATGAAATTCTATAAGAAAGAAAACAATTAACAAAATGACAATAGTAAATCTTTCCCTTAAGTAATTACTTTAAATGTAAATGGATTAAACTCTTCAATTAAAAAACAAGGAGTGCATGAATAGATAAAAAGAACTAAGATTCAACCACGTGCTGTCTATAAGATACTCTATTTATTTATTTATCTATTTAGAGACAGAGTCTTGCTCTGTCACCCAGGCTGGAGTGCAGTGGCGCAATCCTGGCTCATGGCAACCTCCGCCTCCCAGGTTCAAGTGATTCTTGTGCCTCAGCCTCCTGAGTAGCTGGGATTACATGTGCATACCACCATGCCCAGCTAATTTTTGTATTTTTAAGTAGAGACGGGGTTTTACCATGTTGGCCAGGTTGGTCTCGAACTTCTGACCTCAGGTGATCTGTCCATCTCAGCCTCCCAGAATGCTAGGATTACAGGTGTGAGCCACCATGCCTGGCCAACAGACTCACTTTAGATTAAGGACACACAGAGGCTGAATATGAAAGAATGGAAGAAAAAAAAATGCATGCAAATGTTAAACAAAAGGGAGCAGGGGTGGCCATACTTATGTCAGACAAAATAGACTTTAAGTCAAAAGCTGTCACAAGAGGTAAAGAAGGACATTATATAACGAAAAACGGGTCAGTTCATTAGAAACATATAAACTTTTAAAATATATATGCACCCAGATTCAGAGCACCCGAATATAAGAAGCAAATATTGACCAAACTGAAGGGAGAAATAGAAGCAACACATTAATAGTAGGAGATTTCAAATGTCACTATGAACAACTGATAGACTATCAAGGCAGAAAATTAATATATAAACAAAAGACTTGAACAACACTGTAGTCAAATAGTCCTAAGAGACATATATGCAATGTTCCATTGAATAGCAGCAAAGTATACATTCTTCTCAAGAATATACAGATCATTCTCCAGGAGAGATCATGTGTTAGATGATAAAATAA